CTTTGAGAACCACGCCAACACGCTCAGCCCGGAGTCGCAGCTGGAAGAAGACATGGAGCAGCTGACGGTGTCGGGGACCGGGCGACGGCGGTCACCACGCCTGCAGGCTAAAGCGAAGGAGACACGGCCGTCAGGCTCGACAGATGCGGCAGAAGCGGAGGACGCTGGTCGCAAGAGCACAGCGAGCTCGTCGCGTCCTCGGGCCGACCAGTTCTGCGTATACAACACAGGCACGACTCGAAGCGCTCAGGACCACATTGCGGCCTTCATCCTGGAGTACAAGGCGCCGCACAAGCTCCCGCTCGGCTACATCTACGAAGGGCTGGGCGAGATGGAACTCGACGAGGTAGTGCAGTGCCGTGACGACGAGACGCTGAGAGACCGCTTTCGCCGGCTGGTCGCCGCGGTCATCACGCAAGCGTTCTCCTACATGGTCCGGATCGGGGTGGAGTATGGGTGCGTGTGCACGGGCGAAGCGTACATCTTCCTGCGAGTGGGAGACGACCCCAGGACGGTGCACTACTTCCTCTCGGTGCCAAAGGGCGACGTGGGAGAGACGACGGGGTGGACAGCCGGCTCGGAGGGTGCGAACCGGTTGCACCTAACCGCGGTGGGCCAGATGCTGGCCTTTACCCTCCAGGCGCTGAAGACACCGCCGCGGTCGCAGCGATGGCGGACTAAGGCGGCGGCGCAACTGCACAGCTGGGAGGTGGTGTACGACGAGCTGCTGGACGCGATCCCCGAAGGCACGACGCAGTCGTCGGAGTACCAGCCTCCAGAGGACAACAGCTTTCTTCGCATGTCGCCTGTGCAGCTGCGCGGCGGAAGAGCGAAGCACAGCTCGCCCAGCTGCCGGCAGGCGGAGCAGCGGCACGAGGCCAGCGACGATGAGCCAGAGTCGGAGCCTGATCCGGACACGCCGAGCCGACAGCTGTCGTTATCGCAGCATTCCTCGCGCACGCAGAAGACACGCGCTAGCTCATCAAGCGGTCGCAAGCGCGAGCGCAGGCGTGGCCAGGGAGCAGAAGACGGCCAATACTGCACGCAGGAATGCTTGCGCGGGCTCGCGGAGGGCGGT